TGATACCAAAGACTCCACTTCAAATTAAATCAATTTTTTTCGTCAGTATAATAAAGTCGCTATTCCAAGAATCAGTTAGGACTTTTTGCCACTTTGAACCATGTGGTGTTATTTGATAAGAAGTAGTAAATTCAAAAAAAGGTGAAATAAGTCAAGGATCAAAATTTATTGATGTTAACTGAAATGTATGGGGTGACTGTTTGCTTGATAATCGTCTTTGCGTTTAAATTAGTACTAGATTCACTCCAAGTAGCATAATCAAGAGTTTGAACTCCACTCCGTGGATATCTCATGACAAAGTGAGGTATAATGTGGTGTGTGGTTAATTATATGATTGAGGGAAGTCAATTACGCAGCTTTACATTGAAGATCATCGTTTATATGTGCCAAATGTTTCACGGTTACATGCTAACGATAATGTCACTGAGTGAAAGTTATGATGATGAGCTCTAGATGAAACCTTTGGAATTGATGGTGATATAACTTCAAAAATTAGATTATTGGTCACATAGTATGTATAAATAAATAGCGACAATTAATAGTGATACCCTCATCGCTTGAATACGTAAATCTCTCTCTTCTTAGGATCAATCTTATTCTGAGAATAGCTTACAACTTCCATTTATCGTTTATGGCCAACTAGAAGGTCAACTTTGTCTTTGAGGTGCGTTATTCAATTGACGTAACACTTGTGAGATTGAAAAAGCGGTTTGTATTACATAACCATCTAGGTGAATTTACCATTTTTTCATCTAACCATCAGAAATTGTTAGATAGAAGACAGGGATCATCTTAAATAGATATTCAATTTAGCGATATGTATCACATGTTTGTATTCATGACATTCATAAAGAAGGGTGTTCACCGAGGAATTCCATGATGTAAAAACTGTTTTCAGTTCACTTTTCGAACCCGCTGAAAATCTGTTGATTATTATGTGATTCTTTGTTTTAGGTCAGTTCCTGTCTCACCAGGTCAAATGAGGAATAGATGGATAGTCTTGGGGGAAAATTCCAAGGTAATGATAAATTTCACCTAGACAGGGTATTTCAATACAACGTAACTTATAAAATAATGCTTTATATGGTTCATTGAACATTCAAATCGAATATCATATGGAAGGTGATATTAAGGATTTAGGAGTTATCGAATGCCTAATTCAGTGCTTTGGTCAGCGAATACCTATGATGTTAACTACAGTCCACTACTAAAGATAATGAATTTAATCCGACATTTGTGATTTGTAGTCCATCTATCTAATCAAGACTATTTAAGTGCAAATCCCGACGGTGAGTCAGACTTAACCTGACGGATTTGACAGTCAACAAATAGAAGACATGTATCACATTCACTATTGAGGAGAAACACGTCTCAGAAGGCATATAAAGCAGCATATTTCACCGGATGTATATGTGGGAGCCCGCGTTTCCGTCAGGTAGGACAAGTGACGGGTGAAATTAAAGCGATGTTGGATGCTGAATGAAGTGAAAGACAATTAATCTTATTAGCTTAATAATAACAACATAATTTTGTGTTCAAAAATTAACTAATCACTATTGAAAAGTAACGAGCATAATATTTAATGAAGAGATTTTTTTCAACGAAATTATCGACCCCTGTCAGTGTATCAACCGTGACCATGATTTTAAAATCATCCATCGAATTTGTGCTTACTTGCCGAATATTCTCCGTAACAAACGTTTAAAGACAGCAGAGGCCTTCGTCTTTATTGAGTATACTAACCCTATAACTATATAACCCTTTTCAAGATCTATACATCATATTAATCATTCTATATATGATGTTAATTGCTTTGTCACTTTAACACTCAACTATGCTTATAATCAGAAACATTTTAATTGCCAATCATGTCATCATTATTGTTTCATGTACGCACACCTTTGAGGGAGAGATTGATTACTGAATCCTGGTTCATCGATTCTACAACGGACACATTGAATAAAAGTTACTTAACTCAAAAATCAGAGATATGGGAGATATTATTACCACCAGTCAAATCAGAGGATGATACTTAATAATCTAAAATTCTGTTTCAGTTCACACACATTATAACATCCTAACAAGTTACTTATATGGATGAATAATGAGAGTTGAGTATTCTCCTGAATCACAGAACTTCAGATGACTCATGTATCACTCAATGAAAGAATAAGAGAGACAGTCAAATCACTTCTACAATTATTTCAATATAGTATCTAATCAAAAAACCAAAGATAAAATAGTTTGATGTATTATGCACCATATTTGATCATGAACAGAGGGACTTTGCTCCACGCTTAACAAAATATGTTCAAAAATCAATTGTAGCTTTGTTTTAAGGTGATTAAAATGAAGACACTCAGTCTGTTTTTGTTCATTTCATTACTCTCGACTTATCCCTAAGGCTCACGAAGCTCGTAAAAGTCAGCGATTTTAAACTCTGTACTTTGAAATTACTCAATATATTTGTCAATAAATGTTAGCGGTTACAGTAAATTCTGATTCCATGTGCGAATCATTACATTTATCATCTCATAAAGAGAAGATGCAAAGTCCAACAGTAGATAAATTACATCTAAAAGACACGATTGTATGTCACGCATATACCTTTATAATAACAGCAAGTTTAACATGAAATTAGGGCTATCCAGTGTGTGTGTGTGTTCATCGTATAGCGAATTTTATAACTAACAATATTAGTGAGTACAAACGAACGCATTACTTCATAACAGCATATTATTTTTATTATTATTGCTCCTTGGGTTCCTAGTGGAACATAGGGCTTCAACTGCACGTCTCCATTTTCTTCTGTCTTCTGCTGTACTTTTCGCCTGCATTCATGTTAGTTCATATTCTTTCATCTCCTCTTCACACGATCTCCTCCATGTCACCCTTGCATCAACGTCCCACACGCCGCTTCCCTCTCAGCCTGGTCCCAATCGAGGGCTTGACACGCGATGTCACCCAGCGGTCTCCTCAGCGAGTGTCCGATCCATCTCCACTTTCTCCTGCATATTTGTTGGGCGATTGGTTCTTGCTTTGTTTGTTCCCATAATTGGTTGTTGGTGATTCTTTCCGGCCATCTGATCTTCAGTATAGAGCGAAGACAGTTGTTAATAAATGTCTGCAACCTTTCGGAAATATTCTTTGTGACCCGCCAAGTTTCTGATCCGTATAGAAGAACTGACTTTACGTTTGTATTGAAAATCCTAATTTTGTTGGTAATGCTGAGTGACGAAGATTTCCAGATTGATTTCAGGTTGATGAATGTGTGTTCTCGCCTTCCCGATTCTCGCTCCATTTGACATCGTCGTCCGTCCCGTGCCCGTCCGTGCCGACTGCGTGTAGTTGAGACAATGCTTCCTAGATAAGTGAATGAATGAAGTAACCTCTTTCAAATCCCTCCCGTTTATGGTGATTGACGTTGAATGTTGTTGCTGTTGTTGGTTGGTTATTTCATAACCTCCGTCTTGTCTGTGTTCACCTGGAATCCTGTCTTCACTGGCTGCTTCTTCGACCAGTTTGTCGATTTTCGCTTGTAATTCTTCGATTTTGTGTGACACATCAAACATAAATCATCCACGCGCGAAATCCAGGTCTTCTAGGTTCTTCACGTCGGTCCAGGATATTCCTGTCTTCTCGTTTCCCATAACAGCATAGAAAGATTTCAATTACATTAAAACAGAAAACCCGTCTTACACAATGTGTCTGGTTGGTTAGTGCTTACAAGTCTGAATTGCCTGTAATTCCCTATCACGTAATAAATGTATTTGATGAAAGCACACACTGCTATAGTATTATTTGTTGATAGCGTTTATACTATGATGAATTGCCTGTAATCACATCAGGGCATTGCAATACCTTTCAAACTTCATCTGTATATATATATACATTATTTCTTTTCATTTGAGTTTACTGGTAACAATATAGCCGCCATCTACGCTGCCATTTTTATTGCGTTTTGTGATTCTTCACACAAAACTTAGACACTTCTCCTATTTTTACTCTCCGCATTATCCAGAACAATTATTGATTTTCAATAAAAGGCTCATAATTATTTTGGAGAAACTTGTAAAACACAAGCGTACATAATTTACCAGTGCTGACCTCAGAGAGCACTCCTCATTGCAAGAAATGATGAGCTGGTTAGTTAGAATTACTCTTGAGTCACCACCACCATCATCAACTCGTACGTGAATACCACCAGATTTATGATTATATTACATGACATTTAAACCTACTGACCTATGGGACTATATTCAAAGTGGATGGGAAGTTTCCATTAAATGGACTTAAATGTGAAAATTTCATTCATCATCCTCCGTGAATGTAAGGCTCCAATGTATCTGTATGTGACCCGCTATTAACATTCATCAAATTAATAATGAACACAGTACGCTAACAAACCGGTCAGCTACATACTATAAGTAAAATTTGCGGAAACGCCATTCTCCCAGACTGTTAATACGCTTCTTGCAGCAGTGTGTTCCTTAAACGATTATTATCTACAAATTATTCACAAAGCGCCATGAAAAATATTCAAACAGATCATATTCATTCAAAACTGCACACCCTGAAACCCATGAATTCTTCAAAGAAGTGTTCACCATACAAATCCTTACACATCACTATGTACTTCATGCAAAAGTCATCTGTTGATAAAGCTTGCCAACAGTGAGAATGAATACACATTTGAAAAATCTCAAGTTCATCCAATACTCATATTTACTCAACCAATATTTTGAGAAAGATTTATTCTTCTCAAGAACGTCTAGTACACAAATAAAAGTGAAAGATCTACTTCAAAAAGAATAATTTATTTTGAAAATTCTAAAAATGAACGGTAGTACATCCAACAGTTAACATGCGTAATGAGGTATTAACACTAGAGAAACACATAAATATGATCAAAATTGACTGACTGAGTGTGATGTAGCCAATCGATATCCAGTTTTACTTGAGTAAGCTAATGAAGACAAGTGCCGCCTAAAATATACACAGTCACAAACACGACAACATGAATGATTCGATTTTTAATTACTTGTCTGTAGGGTTTCGATTTCGTGAATGAACAACGATTCATGATTTACATTTATGAATCAAATGAACAATGAATTCTATCTGGAATGTTATTCACACATTTATACATTTTTGTGAATCATGAATCTTCGTCAAAACAAACTTTGCTTTTACAAATTGTTTACAATTTGAAATATTTTTGCATCTCACTACATTTACCACTGAAATCAATTCGATAGACATTTTCACAAATTCAAAACATTACAGTTAACTTACTAAAATTACAGATGTGTTCCAGAAGCAGCCAGGCAATTCCAACAAAAGACGCTGAAATATGTTAAGGTAAAATACAGTTAGAATTTCGATCACGGGTTCTAACAGATTAAATGCATAATTCAGATTGTAGTAATTGGATAAAAAAGCCAAATGAAATGAAACTTTAAAAGCTGTCAATTATACGAATCGGTTTTATAAGACTTGGATCAAGGAAATGCTTCTTTTAATATAAATGTTTCCACATCATTATTGATTTGCATGGCAAATAACAGGGATAGATAAGATAAGCTTTATTCCAAATCAGTACTTGTGATACAGAATGGAATTCTCAGCATTTTACTACAATATTGCATCCAGTTAGTACATTAACAATAAATATAGTTCTACATAGATTAAGGTTATATCAGTCAGTTTTGACAACAACATATTAGCATGTTGGTAGCAAAGCCAAAATTTAAACAGAGTGTTTGAAGGTGTTAGAAAAGTAGACACTACTAGCATATTTACTGGCGTGAGCAATCGCAAAATGGTCGAGGTATACAGAGTGTGAAAGAACGAACAGAATGTTTTAAGTAGAGTTTGTAAGGAAGAGAGAAACAAAACAGCACATAACAAAAATAAATACAGAATGAAAAAAAAGGTAGAGAGAAGACGTTGTACCTGTAAATGATGTGACTTGGAAAGACGAGATCCATTTGTTCTACTGACTATTTAATAAGTTAAAGGTTTCATGCCTAATGCTTTCTTTATCGCACAGAACACGAGCTAGGTAGGGTATGGATGAGTTTTTGTACTTACTAGTGCGGGCATATAGTTTTCTATATAGGCTTCTGGTTTTCCCTGAAGAGATACATGGGGAGAGTTGTGAATGTAGAGGGTGTTGTGAGTCCGATAAAATGGTTTTTGCCCATTTTTCACATGAGTCCATGTTCCTGTCCACCAGAATATTAACAAGCTGGCTAAGTGGCAAACTGCTTACCCTGCTGACAACCTTTAACATCCTACGTAATAAGGTATAGTCTTTCTTCAATAGCCCAGGAAAGACTAAGGGGGAACAATAGAGAATAATAGGCAGAATACGGAAGTTAACAAATTGTAGGAGTAAGGGTTGGGTTATACCAGAATGTCTTAACTTCTTGATGTAGAAGGTAAGACGGAATATTTTCTTGGAAATCGTCAAGATATGAGACGACCAGGAAAGATCAGCAGATGGAATGACGCCTAGGTATTTAACTTCCGACTTGGTTTCAATCTCAGTGCCATCAATGTTGCATATCTCGTGAGTCCTAACCATACTGTTTCACAGACAAGTGAATGTACTGTGGTTACAGAATCACTGAACAAATAGGCTTATTCGCTTCCTTATCGCGTGCTGATGTGAACATGTTTTATCCTAAATATACAGAGATTAGAACATAACTGGAATTTCATATGGAAAGTAAAAACACTTAAATAAATCAGGAAATTACGTGGATAAATTTCAAAATGCAACATTCAACTTAACATCCCCATTTACTTACTTTATTCGGTTTTAGACAAAAGATAATTACAACAGCTATAATTCAAGCCAGCGATATTGAACAATAGTGTAAGCTCTACTTCTCGTTTCAGCTTTCTATTTAGGAAGTAGGAGATGATTGGTAACGCGTCTTCCAGAATAATGAAGCCAATTAAAATATAACATGAGTATTCGAACTTAGAGTAACACATCAAAATGATATCCAAAGACCATAGTAGAATCTGTTTGGAAAATAAAGTGAAGGTTTTCAGTGAATCAATAGAAATTATTAAATTTCTGCGTACACTTGTGATGTGATTCGATTATCTCGTGATATAACAACAATGTTTGATTCACAGACGTAAAAACGCGTGTGCTGGATTACATGTGATACCTTGGAATAATCTTCAGGAAGATCTTAATCCAGGTTTTGTGCCTTCATCAGCCAGTTCAACGTGATACATCGCTGATTAGGTTGGTCCCAAACAAACAACAAAGTCAGATCCCTTCGATCCGGCTAACAGTCACTGCTGGTTGATCTGAGTAGTATACAATCGCTCACCTTCATAGTAATAAGTGGATAAGGTATTGTGATCAGAGTAACCTCAGTTTCCAAAGCAGACGGTGGTGAAATTTCACCTGCTCGGTTTATGTGAGTTCCAAACAGCTCAATAATTTGAAAATTGCGATTTTGATTTATTTGCATAACTACAGACATGAACGAACTTGTGCATCCTCATAGTTTCATAGAGACCTTCAGGGTGGATTTACACTGGGTGTTGTTCTGGATCTAGCTTGGATTACGAAAACGATATTTTGTCGTCCTGTAAAACCGCTTAGCATCGAAATCATAATACTGGATTCCCCTGTGTTTATCCGTTTTCAGTTCAGTTTGATCACACCAATATGGGGAGGATCCATCAGTCTACTCCTAAATGTCTAGAGCAACTGGAACCACCTCACCCAAATAATTCAAAGTCATCTATCGCTAGGCGCATCACAGAGACATTTCATAAAGTCGGTTTTAATAGTCCTTTCAGATGCAATGTATAATTCGCTGAAGCCCTAGACATATAAAGGACTCAATCTGGTTTATATTTTCAAAGATGAGGCATTCATTGTAATCTGTCCTGGTAGTCCATTTTGACAAATTATGTTAGTTCTGCTCAAGAATATTTTCACCACTTCACTATAATCTTGATCCTAACCACTTTTGAGACCTATAGTTATTCACATTTGATCCTACTTAATCTGTCATATTTTGTGATCAGTATGTACAAAATACACTGAACTATGTCTTCCTAATATTTTGTAGAAATCAGTTCATCTACTTCCAGGTGAATGGCACAACAAACACGAAATAATCATGAGTAAATGAAGTCAACTAATAATTGGAATGCTCTTCATCACTTACTGTTATTTCAATCAGGATCAGTGCAAATAATGGATTGGTTCTGAATCTGAAGAACGACAATATAATGAGTGGCACAATCAGAACTCTAAAACACAATTAGAGAAAAGTCTCAATGAACATTCAGAAACGAAACTGAGTTACATATTGTGGACATATTGGATACTATGGGAGTCTGTGTCTCCATATCATATTTTGTCATCACAAAGAGAAAGAGCATTATTACTATTATTAGCAACTTTTTGATGTGGTTTTGTTCTCTGAGCTGGATGGTTAGTTTGCGAAGCTTTCATCACCTTACTGGGTGACATCTTCAGCGCATACTTCAATTTGAATTGAGCTTTTAGATTTCTCCACGAGTTTATTAATCATCTCTCCTGGTGACCTTGGACGTGATTGGTTGTTTGTGTGTGTTTTCACACCTTCTAGGTTACTTGTATTGGAACCGGTTGTTTCTTTGACTTGAACTTTGACCCTTTGTGTGTGAAGTTTCTTTCTTATTGGTTGATAAATTTTATTCGCAACTGAATACATTTTGCAATAGAAACTACTGCTCATACAGCAATAATGTCACACCCTTTCGAGAAGTATATGTCATTTAATAGTAGGGTAAATAATTTCATACACAGTTTACTTATTGTTCGCCTCACAATACCCATTAAGAAACCAAGGCTTAAGATTAAGAGAGTCTTAAGTACTGTGCTCTGATTATGCTCTGATTAACGACAGTGATTATACATTGTGTTTGTTCTCAAAAGACCGGTACCCACATGATAATTCACTCAACAGAAGTGTCGATATGGATAATATTTACCGACCAATAAAGACGAAGTCATACAGCACTTACCTCAGCTAACCAATCTCTGAAATGATTGATATACAAGTGTTTAGAAAGGTATGAAAAGTATTGAGGCAAACAGTCCTTATGAAGGTCATCATATATAGAAGACGTCGTTCATGGGAATTTCCGAAATATCCCTCCGAAAGGAAATTAAAGTCAACTATGCAGTCTAAACTGGCTTTGCGTTGACGACGAATTACACCGTGAATTTCGCCTAGGAATTCTAACAGATCAAATGCATAATTAAATTCTTAGTACTTGAGTAGTAAAGTCAATCCTGCCAGATGGAATATGACTGTATACTGTGTATGTACAACAGTATGGGATTTCATAGGAGGTTTGATGAAATAAGGAGTACTAAATCTTTCTTTATGTCGCATTTCAGAGTCACTTTTCTTAAAATTGTGTGATACTATCATCCCATATCATATGATTATATTCATATCAAATGACTGAGTTACTGTTTTGAATACACTGCGATTATTGAATTGCTGGAGAACTATTCAAATCTGATTCCTATTAACATGTCAACGTATGGTTGTTTAACCTCAAGAATATGTAGAGACTAGTAAATAACTGGAATTCTACATTGGAAATAAACACATCACAAAAATTCAGGAGATTATTACAAGAGTAAATGTGAAAATGGAAGATTTTATTTGACATTTCAGTTCACTTACAACCATCCGCCCTACATAAATGGTATATAAAGTAATTGCAAAACAGGCCACTGTAATACACAAAAATGCAATTGTTACTCCTTTTTTGAATCTTTTAGTCAAGGAGCAGAAGATTATCGTCAAGAAGTCTTCGAGAATAATGAAGCTAATTAAAATATAACATGACTGTTTGATGCCACAGCACATCAGAATGATTTCCGTTGACCACAGTAAAACCTGTCGGTAAAGCAATTCGAGGATTTTGAACAGGCGAATAGCAATAAAAATATTTTGTTCATTAAATTGATGTAAAATCTCAATTTCACGTGAAATAATACGAAAAAATTTATCTTAAATACGTTAAAAGGAACAATTATTTTTGCTTCAAAAACTGGTGAAAATCTGTGCAAAATTACAGAATCACATTTCGTGCTTCTTGTCTTCAATCGCCGTAGCAACACAACATTCTTGAAGTAACCGAAGTTGTCTGAAAAATTCAGTTCCACAGTTTGAAAAATAGAATAGTATCCAGCTGTTCGAGTCGAAATTTAATCTACCGTAAGAAAGGTGTGTTACCAATGCAGTGTCTCCTTCTGAATACCGCTGACTGAATTCTATCACACATGTTTCCTTACCATTTGAACATAACTGTGGTAAATGGTAAACACTACAAAGGATACTGGTTAAGAACCAGAACGTTTTCTTGGAAATCCCTCACTTCACAGTGTTTACATTTGAAAATCTCATTACAAGAAAGGTTTCTAATTTCAAGTAACTGGTACAACAGACACGAAATGATCATGAGTAGATGAGGACAACTCATACCATTGATGCCTTTCAAAACTCACCATTATTGCTATCAGGACCAATGCGACTAATAATTTAGTTCTGAATTTGAAACACAGTAACAAAATAAGCAGCAGATTTACTGCTCTTAAATGGAAAAAGAAACCAGGTTTGATGACGTTAGAAATGTTAGACACAGTTATATGTGTGTAAAAGTTAGAAACTGTTAGTTTATACTTCCATATCGAATTCGGTGATTAGACGCATCACGCAGAGTCTATTCTAAAATGGATGAAGTATCGAACGGAAATGATTGCTCGCATACACATGACTTCACAGTCATAGTCTAACCAATGGTTCTAAATCTTCCACAAAGTATTTTTTTTCAAAAAAGGATAACAAAAATCTTCCACAAATCCGGACCTATTCTAGTATATAATAATACACAGGGTTGGTAATCGATGCACTGGTTATGCATTCATTGGTGCAGTACCTTGTTTAAGATACAACGAATATTTTAAAATCGCATTCCTAATTATGCTCATCTTGTTACATTCTCTTAAGTATCTGTAAGCCATTAATCTGATGGATCATTTTCAGTCCGATTGATTGGCTGTTTGTCCGCTGATTTTCATTAACCAAACGAAGCTCAACACTTGTCTTGTTTATGTTCAATCATCACTGCTTCTGTTCATGTTGTAGGTAGCAACTGATTTCATAAATATCCTTATTCTCCAGATATAGATACACAGATTAGTCCTCACCAAAAAGACATATCGACATAGATAGAAATTACTATCTAGCACATTTGAAACTGTGTTAACCCCAGATATTGGTCCAACGGTATTATCAATATTATTATAAGTGATTAGAAGGATTGAAAAACTTCTGAAATAAACAACCACCATCTAGCTGATCATGAGAGACACTCACATCGTTCATGTAGTATTATAAGTTGTCACCCCAAGTTGCATTCGAAGATGAAGATATTGTCTGGGTGGAATTTCAAGTATAAGCGATATAATTACCAAGCGCAAAGAACATAACCACACTTACTTTATTCATATGTAATTCTTTTACACAATTATAGTCTCATCACCAGTAGGATAATGCGATATGATGAACTTTGAACCTTGAAGACGCCACATATCCTACTAAAATGACGAATACGTAAACAGATACCCATATGAAATCAGATCTATTATTTAGCTCATTAGCTGACTTGAGTTCATGGCTTTCGTTCTCCGTGGCTGGACGTTTAAATTTTGAGATAATAATCAACACTCGATATAAATGTATGGACAATCATCTACTACTGTTAGGTATTACACGAAAGAGAACAGAAATCCAGACTTACAGACACGCGATTGCTGCATAATCTTGCCACTTGAATTTAATCATTTCTCCCACCTGAATAATAACAGATTCATTGAATATAAGTTATAATTCAAAATATTTACAAACAATTTATGCCAACTAAATTCATAAAGCTGTCATGAACAGTTTGTTGTTCGCGATGGTTACAAACCCGCGAAACTTTGAATTTACACGAAACCCACGGATCGTGATGTCAAACATTTCAACATGAATGTTTGATGCATAAAGATTTTAAGTGATGCCATATGAGATCTTCATGACAATTTCACAATCCATAAATTGCACAAACCACTGTCCATATTACACAAGTAAATAATAGCCAGATAGATAAAATTCAATAAATTCGTCTTGATATAAGTATCGGTACATTTACATGAAAACAAAGCAAACCTTAGAGAGTGCAATAAACGTTTCAGTTTACCATAACGGGGCTTCCACTGAACGCTGTTCACGTATGTTAAATGTTCAGAATGTTAATGAGCAATGCGGTTTGATTAAACTCTTTCGATCCGTGTTCATTTATGTTCCACTTTATTTTAATAAAACTTAAATAGGAAACCATAATATTCATAATGAAAGATAACCGGGATTAGAAAAAATGCTTTTCTTTCAAATTGAAAAATTTCTTTGATGTTATGATCAGTACTTGAGGTTGACATCAAGTATTGGACCTCATAAACCATGGTATCATAAAATTCGAAGGTCTGACATTCTACGCAGAATGATGCATTTGAGATCCTGAGACTAATCACAAAAAACGATACTAATGACAAATCTAAATTAATGAACAGCTATCCTCTGTAACGAAAGCCATCTAACACTCGATGTTATACGAGTCGTTACGAACAAATGCTTAATTATCGTGTTAATATATCCATTTCATTCTCTAAACTTTGATTCGTATTTTTTTTACACACATGGTGAAGTGACAAATAGTCTCAAACAAAGGTTTCAATGCATGTTAAAGCTTTCTTTATTTATGAACATAATCGATTATTCACATGCATACTCAAGTAAATGCTTGAGATGACGACTTAAAATATTTTACTTTGAACCTTTTAGTTTTATCTGATGAAAAACGGTGAACGAAATATGAAAGGATATAAAAACTGTTGAGGTTGACTAATCTATTCGTTTACAGTGGATGTTTGTAGGATGACTGTGTTCGACATCGTCAATCCGTATTGTTTTACCTAGATTCATATTAAAATCTATGAATAACAGTTTGATCTCTACTCTGTGGATATCTTGTGGTAAAAAGATACTTAATCTGGCTTCTGTCAGAGATTCACGTAGAATATTTATCATCCATCACCTTTTACTTTTTATGTTGCTACGTGAACTTGGAAGCTAACACTGTTTTTTAATTCTACTGTTTGTTTTTTTGTTTTACCCCTACCCTCTCGTTTCTACTTTGAAAGCGTATAAATTGATGATGAAAATTTAAACAAAAAATTGTAATGCCTACATTTTAGATGCGTCAGTTTCAAAATATTTCTTCTCTACTACCAACTAAACATTTATGTATGTTACTGAATTGAATTTTTTGATTTTCCCGTCGATTGATTGGACCGAAGTGCTCAGTCTCAGGTTGACATGTCTGTCGGCTTCTTGTGCAGATGCTTCGACGATATCTGCGCGTTTAGTTAGTATTTAATCAATGGATGGTGACTAGCAGTGAAATCCAGGATAAGGCGCATTTCGTCCTATTTAGGACCCGTGGCTCAAGTGGTCTAGTGGATAACGCTTTGACGTTTGAAACTATGAGCACTGGGTTTGAGCCTCGGTGGGAACATCATCACTCACTGAGAAATGCAGGTACATCCATCTGATCACATGTCCCTAATAGGACGAAATGCGCATCCTGGATTCCACTGCTAGTCTACTGTCTGTCTGTTTTCGACATAGAACTTTGCAAAAATGTGCGGAAGTTCAAGTCGCCACATTCGGTGTAGCACGCGAAGCAAGAGAAGAAAGTACAAGAAAAGCATAATAGAAACAGTGAGCAGAGGTGTGAGACAAAGGAGTAATAAAGAAATACAAAACAGTTTCATTGAAGATCATAAGTCACAGGGAGTGGATGCATCTGCACCACTGAGAACGGTTTTGAGCCATGTCACCAATTGTTTCCAACCATAGATTTTTACCGTCCCGAGGACCCCAGCCCGGAAGTCTACACCTTTCTACGTGGCTTAGACCAACTGTTGTGGATTTCATTGACTGATGCCAAGTTTTTGTTTGACCGCCGCTAGCTTTTTTCCAGCCTGACCCTATATCCGCTAACATAGCTCATCGAGGGAGGCGATGGCTTGGCATACGTAACACATGTCCTAACCATCTCAGTCTTTGTAGCTTCACGAATTCGTCGATTGATTTCCCCTGCTAGTCACCATCCACCAATTAAATATTTATGTATGTTATTAACATCTATACAACCATTTTAATTTCAAGTAGTCTGCAGCTGATGAGAACCTGTGAAATAGAATGATATCATTTTGTTCAGCAAAACAGGTCTTTCTTTCTCTACCGAAATTTATCAAAGGATCCAAATGTCATAAATATCATCACCTTGTTTGTACAACATGATAAAGTTCAGTTTGCCATTTCAGCATACACTTCAGTTCACTAAATTTATCTGAATATCAAGAGCCTGTAAATTGTCTTTTTTTCTCATCCCATGTATTTCATGAGAAACATCCAGAGTAAGTACACAGCGCTAAAACGCAGATGAAAAACATTCAAAATGTTATTAAGTACTTGAAAACTTGACGTAGTATTGCATTAGCTGACACTAGTCATATAAATGTGTCTCCGAACTCGCTCATTTCAATATGCAGCTAAGCTGAAATACATTTGGTGAATTGTAGAAACTGCAGCACACCACTTAGCAGGAATAAACAGATATAATTGGACCAAAGAAAAATTTCAGGTTTTACACAGTAATTTAATAATCGCTCTTCAGCATGAGGTTATGTTTACATTGTCACGTTGGTCACTTGCTGAGGATAACCATGCGTAGAATCTTCATTGAATCCCATGTTTTGATTTTCTATATGTGATGTATCCATTCGACCAGCTTTGATCAGTGGTGAAATCACATGACCTGAACGCAGGAGATCAATCTCTGTGACTTACTGTATGGTTGACCACAGAATGCTTCAACGATAGCAAAAAGAAAATTATTTGTAGTGAAATCAACAGTACTATTCAATAATAATAAATAATCACAATATTTGAAAAGGTCAAAATGACTAGACAATATCACTTGTCAGTCGGACAGACGAAATTACGCCTCAGCCAAAATGAATGAATCGAAATCAAATCCAGGAAGTACCGAAATATCATGAAGAATTTTTGCCACAAGGTGGGAATAAAACACTCCGTGCAAGACTCACACATTAAACAGTTTTCACAGAGAGACCAGCATCGAAATGACATTGAGACACTCAAACAAAATCGCAGATTTCAACACACAACATCAAAGAGAATGAATAAAAATAGTGATTAAACAGGAAGAAAGACAATCAGTGTGGATATAGTGAACGTGTGATATGGAAACGCCAGAACAATGATATAGAGTTTAGGAGAAAATAGAGTGTTAGTTATAAAATTATTTGAAACATTTAAGTGAGTATACATATTGTAACTTGATCGTTCGAGAAAGATTAAACAAACAATTATTCGGTTACAGCGTCAAATTTTAGTTTCATTCAGAAATTTGTTGTGGTAAGATCGAATGTCCGTCTAAATATTCAGAAAATACGTTAACTAATGTATCAGATTAATAGAAAGTTGTTCTTTATTGACTCATGACCAAGTTTCACAGTTGACATGGCTATGTCTTGAGTCTTTATGTTAACTTCATCAGTTTATTATCTTTTGTTCGCGAGTGTGACAGAGACATAAATTACAGCGAACGAATGAAAAGGAACCTCGCAACGGTCAGTGCGTTCGGATAAAGCAAACATTCACACTGAACATCTTATCTTAACCAAAACGTAAACTGCATTATGAATACTATAAAATCCATTTCTCTTCACGAATTCTCTTGATCTAAAGTAGTGTTTGTTGATTCACTTGTGACCACCCGTCACAACTACAGCTCCATGCAAAAAATTTCTCATTTTTATGAATTTTTCACAAGGTGTACTCTGCAGTAAAATATAAACACTTACAAAGTTAAATAAAAAGTGACTTTTCTTAACTTATCGAATAGTGCAAAACAAAAGTTCATAACAATCCACCAACCACACAGAGGCAGAGAAAATTCACAATTAATCACTGTGGTGTTTAAAAATGAATGTGAGTATTTATTTGGAGCACAAGAGCACACTTGTGTGACCGCACTTATGCACGCTTTGCTCATGTAACATTAAAACATAAATAAGCCAGTTTGATGGGCTGATATATGTGGTTAGGACTCTCGCCGACCATGCACAAGGTCCGGGGTTCGAGCCTGCACCGACGCACATCTGATATCTATGGTCGGCCTGCAAAATTTGGGCTACCGATATCCATGCTGAAAATTCCATACTTGTACCGAAAATACAGTGTGGAATCAAGCTGTAAATCAAAAATTAAAAAAAAATATGTCCATCAATTTCAAATGAGGAGGGTTTATATTCGAGTAAATGCTTATCAGTTTTCACGGAGTATAAGAAAATGGCAATCAAAGGATAAAATTGCATAAAATTGAAGTGAGTACCAATGATGAATAGTACATTTCCGACGCCCAAATTTTTTCAAACTATTAAAAGTGAAATTATTTTGGACATATATGACTATCAATTGGTTTTACAGGAAAAAACATCTTCTGAAACACAGGAACTTTAGAAACCAGATGCGATTATGTGTGTTTGCATAACATGCCAACGGCATGGAGAAATGGTACCTCCACTTGTGGTAGCTCAGTGTTGAACTAGTTCAATTATGTGATGGGTTATGTTGAAGATGCTCTGTGAAACACGATCATATTTTATTTCCACTATGTTGATTAAAACTGACAGGTTGCAATTTCAAAAATAGCATGTTTTCTATTTGAAAACAGAGTGAAGATTTTTATATGCTTGCCGAAATCTGTTGTCTATCATATTCACTACAGTATAATATTGAACGATATTTTTGAGTTACATTAATCGTGCTGCTCTAAGGAGCCCAAGGTGTTTAGAGAAATCCGTGTAAAACATTGAATAATTTGATTTGAATAGAGATGATGAAGTCTGTTACTCTGATAAGGACGTTTAAACATGTCAGTATACTCCGGAAACTGGATCAACGACACGTTCAAGACACAAAACTTCTGCAGTTCTGCAGCAACAACACAGTACAGTAATCTGACAATTCAGTCCGAATGGAACGATTCATGTTCATCGAACTTTTGGCGTCATATTCGTCCTTGACGGAGTAATTAAAGTTGGTGGCAGTAAATTATGAGTTATCAATCAACAATAGCTGAGTAATCTAGATTGAATTCTGAAACTGTATTTACCATGAATATTGTAAATGATAAAGTGGTGAATAAACAGGGGAAACAATCAGTACAAACAGAAAGAGACTTGTTTAGTCTATTACATACGGAGGAGAGTGACGCCAAGTCCACAACGATTGCTTATACAAATGAGAAACATCATCACTTTTCCATTAACTCCCCATCACCGGCTCTATACAGATTTATGCAGTTTTCCATCAAAACTTTATCGATCATGTTGTTATGTTAGCCAATAATTATGATCACCAATAAGATATAAGACTGATGTGTGACCTAATCTTCTAGAGGTTTGCAGAAACATTCTTGTATACTCAAATAAGTCCGGATATTATGAGTTCGTTCTATACTATTTCAACTTATATAACTGCAATATTTTGGAATAAGTCATTAAGAAGACAAA